TTTCTTCAGGGCAAAGTTGTGAGATTGTGTGCTGTGGTTAATGTGAGATTTATTGGTCCCATTAGATGTATAAATTATCTCTTTTTTCTCTCCACAGGAAGTTCTACAGACTCTGACCAAGTTTTGTTTCCCCTTCTATGTGGACAGGTAGTGTTAGATTTTCAAACTTTACAAGAAAAAAGCTTGTCAATAAAACTGCTGCAGAAAATAAAAACCATACCATTCCTAATGTTCTGTCTGTTTGACTGTGATTTAAAACACCCAAGTGCAAATTATATTTGCAGTATCCCTTTTTCCTGGGGATTTTATGGGCACCATCAAAAAAAGTTTAAAAGTTAGAACTGTGCACTGGCAGTAGTCAAAATGCATTTTGTTTAACTTCTAAATAATATTTGGATGTTAACATTAAACTTTGAGGATTTATTGTATGTATTTTAAGAATGGATAATACTAAATCTGTATAAATTTGTGTATAACATTCTCATGTTAACATTTTACAGTCCAATCTTCCTAAAATATGAGTAGTTTAGAGAGAAGCTCTAGACCTTGCAGGAATATTGGTGATGTTCTCTTGGATATTTAACATGGTTTGTAACTTGTTTTGGAAGTTAAATTAGGACTAGATTACTTAATAATTTAGTATATTATGTTATAAGTAATTGTTGACTTGTAGAAGAAAACAAAATTAATTGCTTTATGTTTACTTTTGAAGGTAGGGGTATTCTAGCCAATTTCATATCAATTTTAAATATTCATTTTCTGAAATGATCTACCACTGGTTGTCATAAAAGAACATCAAGTGTTTGGCTGACAGCATTCTTCTTAGAACAGATAATATTTGGAACTTTTTTGACTGACTTTTGTAACTTAATCACAATGATGAGACCATTATGGAAACATGTTTTTATAATTTCAGTGAAACTTGCCTGGTATTTACATGAGAAACGGTTGTTTTTTTTTCTTCTTTTTTTGTGCATAATAATTATTTGCTATTTAGATCACCTTTTTATTTTTTCCTCCAAGTAGCTGTCTACCTATCATCCCACTGGCCATCTTGCAAAAGATAACTCAGGATCTTCTTTTAAAAGGGGAGGGAGGGAATTATCAGCATGGGGAAATTAGGTTTTAGATAATTTCATTGCATTCAGAGGAAAAGCATTTTTTAAGATATTCTCAATAGCTGTTATGCAGGATGACCCCCCCTCCCCCCCGCCAC